CGAGGAAAATGGTTGTCAAATGCTTTCTTGAAGTCGAACATGGACTGTAATTAATGAAAATTAAAAGATTTCGAGTTGCTTGGGTGCTTGGGTCCTTCCTGTTATCAATTTTCGTTTGTTTACGATCCCGGCGTTGGGAGCGTTGGACGTTTTCGATGGCCGATGCTCAGTCGGCGCTGCGCAGCGCTGCGACAATCCTATTGGCTACAAATGTGACGTCATTCGTATATTAGGCGAGCGGGATTTACAAAAATGCGCAGTCTATTTACGCAAATATCTCGCTTATTAGTTGGTTTCATGAATTCCCGTTTGTACCATTGAATTCTACGCGAAATTCTGATGCAGATTCATGTGCTTAGAGCCTCCAGTTCTTACCCTGTCTAGAGGCTCATTATGAGTATCAAACCGCCTATCTCCGTTTGCAAAGTTGCAGACTTCCTGTCATACCTCACTTTTAAAATGGAAAATCCTTCAACGGCAGTTCTTAAAAAATGTCATGATTTTTCTTGTCCGTGCAAGGAAAATTCTGCAAAGTATTCGTGGAATGATATTGATGATATCCCTTTAAAAAAAAAAAAAACATAGATAAAAAACGAGCCGATATTTTAAAACACCGCAAATGAGACGTGGTTTGGAAGTTTGTCGATGTATGAAATACGTCTATTCTTCACGGGGTCGAAGTGACAAACCGTAGAGAAATTCACTTCGTTTACCTTTGTTTCAACGTTATGCTTCCATAATGAGAGCAGGCGAGAGCAGATTGAGAGGACAGGCTCAATCTAAACCGTAAACTGAAGAAATCAACTTCTTTCGTTACTCTTTTCACTCATTACATTCACATTCTAAGAATCGTTATCATCCGAGACCTCCTTACCTTCAGCATTACTTTAGAATATTTTACTAAAAAATACAGTTAGAAAAAGGTATAGTGTTCATCTTTCCTTTCAGGGCCAGATGCAAGTTACTTGGATAGTAAGAAGAATTCTTACGAACACTGGATAATTGGTAATATTCCCGGCACGGATTTAGAGAATGGAGATAAACTTTCTGATTATGTTGGGCTAACGAAAGCCGCTTACTGTCAAGGTGGACCATTTTGATTTTTCTTCGTGACTTCTTTTTCAGAATTGTGGTTTCTTCGTGTCTTTCTTCAGTAGAACATTTTGAAACGAAGAGTATTAATCAAACTTAAAATAAGATTGCACGATGAAAGAGCATCAATTATAGATGATACCAACTAATCTGTTGCGAATGAATTAATGAAGATATTGCAGGATGCATTGTGCGACAAATTTTCGAGCTGAAAGAAGCGCTAATACGCTTTTCTGATTGAAAAATCGAAGCTTGTTATTGGCCCGAGATATGACCTTACATGAAACCAAACCCATAGTTTTAACCATCGTGATTCCAACAGAAATCAAACAAATCTGTTATCGCGATATTCTTCCATTGGAAATGGGGTTTGGGTTTTTGGCGACTTCGAAAGCTATTTACTCAGATAAAATTTGATATTTTCCTTTCGTTTCGACAGCTTAACCGACAATTTCTTGACAAGTTTTACTAATTTTTTCTAACTTTTGGTCTAATTTGACAGTTTTTCGACGCCGCGTACTTAATTATGTAAATTTATTTCCTTAAACGCCGGTGGTTAGGCGTCGCAGAGCTCCAGAGAGCCCTTTGAAAGCGACTCTTATGTATGTACACCTTTCAGTTAACTTTCCTTTCCTTGCGTTAAAGTCTCCGCGGCGAAGGTATATAACCTTTTGTCGCAAGATTGAGATCGATAATATAACGTATTGTACGATATTTTTTGTTAATCAAGGTCACTATACAAACAAAGCTCTTATTCCTAGAATTCTATAATGTGTTGTTCTGTTTGCGTTGTCCTGGTTTCAGGACATTTTGTCAACGATTTGTTGTCCGCGCACCTGTTTTGCCCAGTAGTTTAAACTACGACGACACAGATTTTTTTTAATATATTTTGCAAGATATGTAGTTATGCTTTGTTGGTTAACTAATGTTTTGATAAAGTACAACATTTTTTATGTTAATCAATTTAAATATAGGTCTTTAAATTTATCTACAAAAGTTATAATTTTTATCTATGGTTTAAGGATTTCTGGATTTCCCCCCTTTCTTGGGTTTTTAATTAAATGATTGGTAATTAACGAGATTGGTGATTGGTTATTTTACGCGAGGACTTAAGTGTAAAATTGGCATCAGTGACTTGGTCCAAGCGTCATTTTTTATAGTCCGTGTGTAAAATTATAATGACAATATTGGAATGAGTAAATTGAGAGTGAAGGAGGTGTTGTTATGATAACTCATTTTTTAAATGAATTGTTACTTTCTCCTTTTGATTCATCATTTCAAATTGTCATTTGGTTTTATTTTTTTCCTTAAAATTTTCCAAGCGGCAGCATAGATACTAATCTCAATGAGCCGTAGTTGTGTTGAAAGGAACTACAAATATACAAAAATTAATCAAAGAGAAAAAAGAAACACACAATCTTTGGTTTTAACCCGTTTGTACATAGATCTATCAGAGTCAAATAAGTCCTATTTTGAGCGTTTGGTTGCGCGTACACCACGCTGCAGCACAGTAAAAGCACAGAATATAAAAAAATAATATAAAGTGCTTTGGAAATCATTGAATTTGACACGGAATCATCTGAATATTTACAAAACACACAGTATGTTTTCCTTTAATAAATATCCCCCCCCCCATCGATTATTTAGATGAGGATAATTCTTTCAGAGTGTGCAAACATTGCAAAATCATGAGTTGAAAAACGCTGACTCTGCGAGTTTATATATTAGATCCGAACACGGGTCGGAGCGTTGTGCTTCCAGCGCGTGTCGCGCACTGGCGCCTACAAACCTAACAGGGATACCTCACGCAGTGCGCAATGCGTGAAGTATCCCTGTTAGGTTTGTAGGCGCCAACGCGCGTGTCGCGATGGTCACACTCGCCCGCCGCCGCGGGGCGGCGTACCACGCCCCTTGAGGCAACTATTTCGCAACAGAGGTGTTGTACAGCATCATTCGAAATTGAAGACGCTCCAACGTATCAAGAATGATAGGCATCCTTTGAGAGTACGGAGCTTTCCTCGCAAAATAAATAAAGATACTACGGCACAAAAAGAGAGCGGTAGTCACATAATTCACTAGGTTCTCGCGTCCGTATTTAATAACGTTTGGCATAATTTTTGAATTTCATCAGAGAAAAAATTACTCAATTTAGGCAGGAACATTCTTGAGTATGCCGTAAAGAAGATTTTATTTTGAATTAAGAATAAAAACGCGGAATGAAAGCGGGTTTCTGCTCGACGTGAGTGACTTTTCTTTTTATGTAAGCATATTTTCTTCTTCATACGAGCGTTTTTTTATTGATTCATAAGAAAACTTTCAAGGCGATAATTGAAAAAATCTCTATAAATTTTGAAGCACGCTTCCGACTTTTTAAGAAATAGAGCGAATTAGTGGTGCGTGGTCTGAGCAGCATCAAATCGAGCTTTGCTAAATTTCCTTTTCCCTTCAATGTTTAAAAGTTTTGATTTCTCTCTCATAATTTCGATTTCTTTCCATCTTTTTCTTTATGGCGCCCGAACCTAGGGCTCTCACTGCAGTTCATCCGGCACCGTTCCGGTACCGAAGTATAGCGACGGCGGATTTTTTCCCAAGGTTTCCTTGTTGAGGCCTCGAAGACCTGACTCTGCTTTGCGCCGAGACGAATACTTTTGGCCATGTGCACTTTTTGAACTTTCTTTTTACATAAGGGACCAATTAACTTTGGGTGTCAATAGGTACGTGGACCAAAACTCTCCCACCAATAAAACGCGCGGACGTAAACAACTGGAAAAAACAGGTTCGCGGACAAAAAATCGTTGACGAAATGTCCTACAACCGTGTTTCTTTACTGTTCATAGGCACTACTCACCGACTGGTTTTTTACGTGTTCGAACAGCCTAGAGGAAAGAAAATGAAGTTCGAAGGAGCTCTGATTAAAAATAAGTGAGTCCTTATTTTATTTGAAAAGTAAGAAAAGTCGGTGTTCGTGCACTGATGTTAAATTTGCCAACTATTATTGAAGTTTCTCCTACATCGCTTTGCTACCGTGGATTTTTGTTTCCACCGAAATGACCAAAGGTGTCCATACTTTTCTGACGCATGACTGTCCTTACCGTATGCTGACAAACTTTATTAGACAGTTAATCATCACACATAGAGTGCAATAGAGTCGCAATGTTCTGGAGCGCCGATGATGTCACTTTATGAGACTTTTTTGTCCAGTACTCCTGAGACTAGTGTGCGGCGACTGGCGATGCCGTATGCGCCGGGTACCAGCTTCGGTCTTCCCTCAGAAAATACAGGTATAAAATGGGTCACTAAACCATAAACGAATTTTGACTTGCGAATACAGTTTTCTGAAGGAAAATGACGCGTATAAGATAATTAGAGATTAAAAGATTTTAATTAAAAGAACATTAAAAACGCGAACAAGTAACTCAATTACCGAGAAATGCGCAGTTCAAATCGCTCAACTTATACGCAAATTTCAAACGCCCCGGTTTCGCGCCGCACCGAATGATGTCATCCGGCACCAATTAGAGGCGGGCACGGGTTTCCACGACGTCCGTCAAATGTCTATCTACTCCTCGTATACGAGAACAATATATTAAAGTCGAAATTATATCTTTTGAATTCAAGACTAGAATCTCATTCATATGTTAGCTGTAATAAACAAGCAACAACTCCACATTACAATAAGTTTTATTTTAACAAACATCAGAGGAAAATGAGAGAAGATCGCGATATGACTACCGCAGTACATCAACTGCGTCAGTCTCCCGCCATTCGGGTGCGTTTGAGATGTCTTGCAGTTTTTAGATTTTTCAAAAGCGGTTTTCTCCGCGATTTTGGCTCCATGCAAATGCGGAAAAATCACCGGGTTATCTCCTCACATAGTACTTTCAGAATATTCAATAAAATAAACAAGGTTTAGTGAGCCATTTATTTCATAGAGACCGGGAGTGTTGTAAATTTTTTAATTTGACACAATTCGCCAAAATTCGCGGAAATAATGATTAATTTAAATGAATAAATCCCAAGAACCACCCGCAGCCCGCGATTCTCCCATAAGCCGCCGTGTTAAAAAATGCCAAACGGTTCCCAGATGGTTCCCACTTTCCGGCGAGAAAGGGGCTCGGAATGGCCCGTTCATGGATTGACTTCATTGGCGCTCCAGCACATTGCAACTATATTGTACACTGAAAAAAAAAAAATATTGCTGAAATTGCCGTGCACGCGGGTATTTCATGGCATGGTGTAGCTAAAAAACGAACGTGCAAACCATGCAGGTAAAATCGCTACACAAATTTCAGGTAACTTACACACACGCGTGTAGCTGATTTTGCTCTCTGAAAAGCTACGTCTGTTACCTTTTTAGTTATTCTTCCGTAAATTTCGCTATTTTTCCGTAAATTCCGCTATTTCAGCCTAACTATTGAGCTATTTTTACTGTTCGCAAAGTACCAATACCAAAAAATGCAGTTACACTTCCAAGCCACTCGATGCAAGATTAACTGCATGAAGGCGCGCAGACGTAGCAATTCGTGCTAGTCGTTCACTTGATTCAACACCGTGCACGGATAAGAAAGCTTTACGAAGTGAAGCAAATTTTGCTCCACCCTAAATCGGTGAATTACCATCCTTTTTTCTCAGTGTACTCTATGTTAGCACAACAGTTAATGACAGAGTCTCAAAAGTAGAAGCTTCCGACGTTTGCATATACCGCTGGAGGGTGCCCACTTGCCTTTAATATTTAAATATAAATGGAATGTTTTGAATATTAGTTATGAAAAGGTACAAAAGTCCTGATTATTTGTTTCAGAGACACAGGAAGAATTAGAGGAATGCTTTCCATGGAGGACTTCGTGTTGCGTTACGACCTAGGAGATCCATACGCACTACATTTCTTTGAAGTATTCTTCAACAAGACAAAGCTGTGATCATCATATTTACTAAGACTTCTGTTTTTATTACAGTGACAGTCATGCACTAATATGTGCTCAAAGTCCGTCACGAATCTTGTTTTGTTGTTATTGTTTTCCTATTCCACCCTTTCGAAGAGGACTGTGGTTAAATCCTGCTTTCATCTTCGGTTACGTGACCAGATTGGCCCGAATTTGACATACTTAAAATCTGGAGGGTCAGACTTTAACGAGTGGCATCGATCTATTCAAAACTGATTGACGCAAAATTGATCCAACAAAAATCAATTTATTGAATGGTCTTCAAACGTAATCTTCCCCACACTCATTGTGTTTAGCAATAAATTAATTTAATAAATTAATTGATCTCTTGACTTCGATATTTTTCACCGTAACCTAAGATCAATAACCCCTATCCCCAAAAAATTGGTTTTCCGTTATTCTGGATGATGAGCAAAATTTAGCTTCTCCGAAAAATAACGCAAAATAATAATAAAAAATAATACTTGAATAAATATTTTGTACAACTTATAAAAGGCGTTATTTTAGATCTATTATCTCAAAAAGTATATGCTAAATTGAAACTTACCCGGGATAGTACTGAACTTGTGTGGCATTTTTGCAAACGCCAACCAATAACGTAAATAACAATTGAGTTCGAGTCAACGACAGGGCTAGATTGACGTCGATGTACAGGATGCTTTGTGCACTCACGATACCATGGATCTCGTTCTGGTTCGTGTAAAATCTAGCGAAGTTGCAAATCTGTGGCTCTAGATTGCTTAGAAAGATCACAATGTCGATGAAGAATATGTTCTCAGAGAAAATCAACTTAAGACTTTGACCAGTCCCATGTTCATCCTCCTTTTTCACGCATTCAAATTTCAAATTTCAATTTTAGTCGTAATTTTGGCATGAAAATGTTCATCTAAACGCGTAAAGTGAGACTTAAAAATGAAACGACATACTTAATTGCCTATTTTTCCCTCACATACTGACCTCTTTTTTGGCCGGGCCCAGGCACAGTGAAGTTTTCCAAAACACTGAAAAATATATACCGCACAAACAACAAACTAGAGCTGCTAACACTTTTATACAGTTCCATGTATGACTAAAACAAAGATGAGATTGCATTGTTAAAAGGAAAATGCATCCTGTTTATGCATAAATGATCATCTTCAGAAATCAAAAACAATAAAAAAAAAATCTGAATGTCATGGACTCCTCGCAGCTGCCAAACTGTTTTTATTCATAAGTTTCTTCACAATTTTGAATATTTTTCGATGACTCAAGCTGCTTTGAAAGAATGGTGGGGGTAATTCTCACGTGAACTATAAATAATCGAAAATAGAGATCAATGAGCCCTCATCCTGCTTTCTCTTTTTAAATGACTGTAAGGTGAGGTTGGGTAACTGGGCGGAGGGGTAACTGGGCAGTACCCTCTGTATTTCTACCAGATTAGTGCAAAAATTGTTTTCACTGTTGGCATACCTTCATTATGACGTAAACCATCTAGAACATGTAAACATAACTTCAAAAAAAAATTTTATGGTGAATGGTGGAGTGCCGAAAATTGTACAGCTTTTTTTTCAAAACAACGCCAGAGGTGGTCCCGAAAAGAGCCTCATATCTCACTCCCAGCAAGTATTTTATTCAACTTCGACAATTCTTCTTCATGTATGATGTATTTGTGTAATGCGTGAGTAATTACAACGTAATTGGATGAAAATACTGGCTGCAAAGGGTTGATGCCCAGTTACCTTGAAAATTTTCCCTTTGTGGGGTAACTGGGCACCCACCCCAAGGTGACTGGGCCGGTGGCAGTGGTGGCACCTGCCCAGTTACCCATTGCAAGGTTGCTGTTTCGGTGTTTGTTAACTTCTGAAAATTTCAAAACTAATTGACTATTGTGGACTTCTAAGTGACAAAGACCAATAATCAGGGTTCCCAGCACACTAAACTTCTAACTTAAGTCAATTATTAAGTAAGCATTACTTAATTTCATTTTTGCCGCTAACTGTTACGACATCACTTTTAACGACTTAAACATGGTTATATAAATTCAAATGAAATTCTCTGAAACCCTCATGAGAAGGACATTCTTTTCTGGCCAATGAGAATTACAAATAATGCCCCCCTCAAAAATTAAGGGAACTTTTTGGCGCCTGACTCTATCCCAGATCAGCCTTGCGGCTTACTTTTTTTTTCATTTTTTAAAAATGTATCATGCTTAATCTCACTAAAAGTGGCCAAACAGTGTCCTGGTATACAATACTACTTTATAAGTAGTAATACAAAAAGTTCTAAGCATTTATCTACAAGGAAACAATTTTTTTTTACCGTTATTCAATTTTCAGATTTGAGGGTTTTTTTGCCGCTAACTGTTACGACATCATTCTTAACCACTTAAACATGTTTATATACATTCAAATGACATTTTCTTAAACCTTCATGAGCAGGACATCACCTTCTGGCCAATGAGAATTAAAAATAATGCCCCCCTCAAAAATTAAGGGGGGGGTAGTCCAGTTACCCCACGACGTTGGGTAACTGGGTGAAAAAAACGGGAAATTTTTGAAAATTTGTGGGAAAAAAATGAAAGATGAAATTCGACTTTTGACTCTTCCTACATTTAAACAAGGTGTTGTACTTACTAAAAAAAATTTAAAATTAGCCTCCACAATCAATAAAATGATGGGGAAAAAATCATGAAGTTGAAATTTTGACATTTTTCTCCGAACTCCTGCCCAGTTACCCAACCTCACCTTAACGTTACGTTTTGAGAGAATGTTTAATTGATAAGATTTTTACTGATTTTTCGGCTTCCGATGAAAACACGGTACCATCACTTAAAAAATGTTCAGTTCTTATATCCAAGGTGTAATTAACCTGTTGTCCAATAGAATCAGTTCCAAAAGAAAAGGGCCAAGATATATTTTTTACCTGTTTGTATTCTCGTGTAGCGTAGAAATTGGTGTTATATCTGCGGAGAAAATCCCAAAATTCAATCCGGATTATATGAGAAAAGCACTGACCGAATATAAAATATATCCATACTTATTACCAGATTTACCGAAATATCCAATCGAGGTGAGTGCGATCATTATGCCTCTTTAGTTCTTACGCATTCCGTATGAAAACCTTTTTTGTTGATCAATTAGCCCTGTAGTAAAAAGTATAACGTATAATGAGTATAATGTCCAAGTATAATGTATTATTACAAGCATAGTGTTTAATTATGATGCCGCTCTATTCAGGGGCCCGGTGCGTTTAGAGTTTATACGTGAAAATTTTGGCAAAGTTGACGTACTTGATTAACGTGAGTTCAGCCGTAATAACCATGTTTTTAAACAGAGAGGTGAAGGAGAGATATATTGAAATTGATTTTTAATTCTCTAAAGATAAGGTCAAACATTTTTTTATATCGATCCATTAAATTTTTGGCGTATACAACTCGCGTAATGTAACCCATGAGAGAAAATTTCCTGATGTAACTAATTCGACCTCCCAGTAGCTTGACCTGCATATTCTCTGAATGAATGAATGAATAATTACTGCTGCCTAAACCTTTTATTTCTGATCAATTTGCAAACAAATTTTCGGTTCTGTCCACAAGTTTTCTCATTATTCTTAGAAAGACCGCAATGAGGAAGATGGAAAGATGAGGAGGAAGAGAAAGAGAAAAATTTAAAATTGACGAGAGCAGTTAGACGAACGGATGGATTTTAAAAAAGGATAATTGAATATTTTGAAAGCTCACGATAAAATCAAGGAAATCATGTTTAACCTGCTTATGTATTCGAGACTAGTGAATTTTAAAAACACTATTCTTATAATGAGGCATTTTTAAATGTATGAAAAGGCGTTACTCTAATTTCAATTGACATAATATATTGGATGTATTCCTAAAAAATGTCTAACTAAGTTAATAATTTATAGAAATCATTTTAGGTTTACTTCGGAGAGCACGAAGTAACTTTTGGGAACAGACTTTATTGGAATGATACGAAAGACGAACCAACGTCGGTCCACTGGCCTGCAAAAAAAGATAGAGAATATATTCTCGCGGCGATAGGTGAGTGAACTACTTCGAATGTTTGACCGAAACAAAAATGTCTATTTTTTGGAATTTTTTTAAAGCTCATTTAATCTACAAACCCTCCTCTTCGTATCCTTTTTTTCTTTAGACACAAATTATAGCTGTTAAAAGAATCGAGAGGCTAGAGCTCCCATACTGTTTCTACATGCAACAAGGACGTCGGATGGACAAAGTTAGTTGTATCCAGGTATTACTTACATCATAAACGACGTGTAGCACTCGACGGCATAATATCCTGCTTTTTTGATTGATTCTTATTACATTTTCCCCTAGTGAGATCCTCATTGTGATTAGGGAAGCATTTTTAATAAAATAATCGACATTTTTGAAAAACAATAAAAGCTGTAAAAACTTTTAAAACTTTTTTTTGAAAAACTCACGTTTTCACTAATTTGTTATTTTTCGGACGCGTTTCGGTATGATGGTGGCCCGGGTAGCCGCCGAAACGCGTCCGAAAAATAACAAATTAGTGAAAGCGTGAGTTTTGCAAAAAAAGTTTTCAAAGTTTTAGGGAAGCATTGAAATGATGTACCAATGGAAATATTTAAAAATTCCAAAGTTTTTTTTTATTTATTTATTTATTTATGTAATCAGAATAACGATGTACACAAAAAGATTTTAGACCTGTGGGGTCTTTTAAATCTTAACTTTAACTTATATACTAGATATAAATAAACATCTGCTTTTACAATGGTTAAAGGTAGCTACAAAATATAAGGAAACAGAAAATTTAGAAAAATCAGAAAAAGGGAAATATTAAGGCAAAGAAGAGCAACGAAGAGTACTTTGTGGTAAGCGGGCCAGGGGCCCGAATTGAAAACTGTAAGAAAATGAAGTTACGAAAAATGATGAAGTAAGTGCGGTAGATTACTGAGGTTTAAAGAATGATAAGAAAAGCAGGAAAATAACTAAGTTTAGCTATGTCAAGCCTCACGGGCAACGTGAGAACTTTTGCTTTTAGCAAGCATGTACCCCTTCAGCCGACATAGGCCATCAGGGGTCAGAGGCAAGAGCCTAACACCGGCGGAAAAGGGGCGAGCTCAGCTCAAACGTTTTACGTCTTTTTAAACGTCGCGGGGCAGCAGACCAGTCCAAGAGCGATATCGCTTCCGGATTAGAGTGTCTACCCAGCCGATCTTCGTAATTCGTGTAAAGTCTAGAAATATATACTTCCATGGATTCTATCCCGAGCTCGCCTCTAATATCGGCATTACGCTCGTACCATCTGGCCCCGGTCATTTGGCGCAAGATTTTATTTTGTGTTATCTCAATTTGATTTAAGTTAGAATTTGCTGCGCAGGCCCACATCTGACTGCCGTATGCCCAGATTGGCCTTATCATGGACTTACATAAGAGAATTTTATTATTTAATTTTAGTTTGGAACGCTTTCCTAAAAGCCATAACATTTTTCTATGCTTCAATTCAATTTGCTTACGTTTAGTTAGGATATGATCTTTCCATGATAATTTACTATCCATGATAAGGCCAAGATAAGGAGCCTTCGAAGAATGGGGAATAGCAGTGTTCTTTAGGATCAGAGGTGTGTGAACGTAGGGGCGTAATGTCAATACCACGTTGACCGACTTAGTGGCGTTGAGCACAGTACGATCGTTATCTGTCCAATCCTGGATGTCGTCCAGGCTCTCTTGCAGATTTCTGACCGTTTCATCGTATGTGGGAGCTGAAGACGCTACGGCTGTATCGTCAGCGAAAATACCCAGTTTGCCCTTTTTGGGCTTTGGAATATTAGCCGTAAAAAGACTATAAAGAAGGGGAGAGAGTACCGACCCTTGAGGTACTCCTGCTCTAATCATTTTAAAATCTGAGTAAGAGTCCTCGAAACGAACCCGAAAGAAACGATCAGAGATGTATGACATCAGCAGTTGAACATGGTTGCCCGGTAGTAATTTGGAAAGTTTAAATGACAGTTTCTGATGCCACACCCTATCAAAAGCCTGGGCGACATCCAGGAACACGACATTGCAGTATTGTTTTTCTTCTAACGCTTTTTCAATATAAGCGGATATTCTGTGTAGTTGCTCTATCGTACTGTGTCCAGGCCTAAATCCAAATTGTTCGTCTGGGAGTAAGTTTTTCTTTTTAACTATACTAAAGAGTCTCTTTATGTATAATTTTTCGAAGAGTTTGCAGATTAGCGGAAGGAGGGAGATGGGTCTGTAAGAGCTAGGAGCTGAAGCAGGTTTGCCCGATTTAAGGAGTACAATAACTTCTGCTTTTTTCCATTGCAGGGGTATGTATTTTAATTTAATTACAGCATTAAAAATGGCTGTTAATTTTTTTATAGCGGCAGGAGGAAGTTGTTTTAAAACCACTGCTGATATCAAGTCATATCCTGGGCTTTTTTTAATTTTTGTTTTATACTTAATTTCATTAAATGTATCCTCATAAGTAATTTTTTTGATTTTTTCGTCTGGAAGAAATTCTAAATTTTCTACTTCAGCTTCTAATTCTCTTTCTATTTCAGGGCTTGAACTTGGATTGGGCTGAAAAACAGATTCTAAATGGGCAGCGATGGTATGCGCCTTATCTTGGCTGCTAGTAGCCCAATCGCCGTTATGCATTTTAATCGGAAAACTAGCTTGGAAAGGACGTTTTAAGCCTTTTGTTGCTTTCCAAAGTGAATAGTCGTTTGTTTCACTAGCGCTTAGATTTTTAATAAATTTTTCGAATTGTTCATTCCTATAAGCGTTTATTCTTTTTGAAACTACCTTATTTAGTTGATTATAATAAGTTTTGTCCGCAGGGAAATGGGTTGTCTTTTTCCTCCGCGCAGCTCCCTTTTTGTGGTCTATGAGTTTTAAAATTTCTTCGGGTAAGGTACACTTGGGGTATAAATTTGCATTATTCCTTGCAACAGGGGTAGAACTTTTGGCAGCCTCCTGTATTAGTGAAGTTATCGCTTCTGCCTCTTTATTGAGAGTTTCATAATTATTTATTTGAGTTGAATTATCAATTCTAGATGTGAGTAATTCTCTAAAATTATTCCAGTTGGTTTGAGCCGAAAAGAGGCAAGGGGGTCTTTTCGTCAAAGTGGGAGTAGCAAGAATGGATGATTTAACTGGAATATGATCTTTAGGTTTTTGGCCTTTTTTACATTCTAAAACATCACAAACAGTTTTATTGTTTAAAGAAAGATTATTAAACACAAAAAAATCAAGTATGTCAGGTTCTTTAATACCACCAGCCGGATAGAAGGTAGGCTTACCAGGAGTTATGAAGTCTCCACCAATTGAGTTTACCGCTGTTTCTAGGCCAACACCTTTAGGATTGGTGAGGCGAGATCCCCACCTAAGATTTTTAGAATTAAAGTCTCCGCCGAGGATAAATCGTGGGCCCATTCTTTCTAGTAATTCAGAATAATGGGTTGTTTGGCAACGTATACCTGGCGGTGCATAAATTGCACCGACATTAAAAGAACCGAGCGATGATTCAACCTGCACAATCACAACTTGAAATCGCTCCGTCTCAATGATATCAATCACTGAATGTTTTATGCATTCCCTTATAGCTACAGAGGCCCCCCCTCTCGCCTTATTGGAAGGATGACGAGCATTATAAAATCTGTATCCTTTAATGAATCCTCTATTTTCGTTTGCAAAATGTGTTTCCGAAAAAAGAGCAATATCAGTTCTCAGTTGAGACATGGTTTCACTAAAGGCTAGGGCCTTATCAGGAGTAAGGCCGTTAGCATTCCAAGTAATAATATTTAAAATACTTTCCGTCTTGTTATGATTCATCACATTAGTTGCGAGAATTTCTGTTGATAGCTTGACCGAGTAAGGCCGCCTCGTATTTCTCTTGTCTTTTGCTCATTTCCTCTATCTGTTTCCTGAGTGACTCAATTGTCATTAAAAGTTGGCTTATCAATTCCTCTTGATATTTATTACCGGATTGTAGTGGGTCGTTAGACGCCACTGCATTTGCAAAAGTAACACTCGGTTTGATAATATTTCTATCACTGAGAGATGGATTTGATTTATTAGAGTTCTTTTTATTGGGTTTATTTTTATCTGGAAGGGATGGAAAAGAGTCCCCAGGACCTGACTTTTTCTGATTTCTCCCCTTAATTGATTGAAGTCTTTCTTTTTGCATAGCTTTAGCGAATGGGCAGCCTCTGTAGCTAGCAGGGTGGCCCCATCCCCCACAATTCGCACACCTCGGGTTAGTGATCCTTTTAGCCCAGGGACAATCAGCAGACAGGTGTTTGCCCGCGCACTTTACGCACCTGGCCTGCTTACCACAAAAGTTCCAAGAATGACCAAAATTTTGGCATTTTCGACATTGAATAATCTTAGTCGAAGATACTTTTATCGGCTCAACTTTAACGGTCATAGAGCATATGCCTACAATTTTATAGATCTTCTCGATGTCGTCAGTATGGTCAAAATCAACCTGATGCACCGGGATTTTAATGACTTTGGTCTTACTTACGTATCCTGTATCTTCAGTGAAGAGGGTTTCATTATCAACGTCCACTATCGTCTCTGGTGCATTAGTGTCCATAGCAGTGGGGGTTACAACAGGTGGAGAAGGGTTCACTGTTGGAGTAATTTTATCATTATTCTTAGATACAGAGTCAGTTGAAATTTCTACAGGTAAAGTTCCAGGTAATTTTTCCTGAGCTGATTGCTTTTTAAGATTTTTTAATTCTCCCTCAGTAAGAGGAACACGTTTCAGAAGACAGGTTGCCCTCTTTGCCTTAAAACCCTTCGACTGAAGGTCCAAAAGAATTTCAGATTCATCTAATGTGGGGTGGAGCCCACGGATGATAACCTTAATATCTCTAAGATTTTTATTACAATGGGTGTAATATTGTATTTTAGTGTTAGCCTGTTGTGCATCACGTAAAGAATTTAGAATAATTTTGGCTGTGTTATCATCCTTGGGGTTCACTTGCCACACAGAATTATTAATGATTTTGGTACGGATATCTTCCTTTTTAATATTTTTTTTTAACAATTAGATCCATTAAGGTGGAGTAATCTTCAATGCCAATAATCTTTATAGGAGGAGGAGGTAACAATTTCTTAATATTAGGGTCAGTTACAGCGGATTGAGATTGAGAGTTTGGTTGTGTCTCACCCAATTGCCCTGGTTGTTGTTGTTGTTCATCGTGACTTGATGCCGAGGTGTTGGCCCTTTTCCTTTTGGATGGGGTCTTCTTTAATTGAGCCTTTATAGCCCGTCTCTTGGATGAAAATTCTGGATCAGAGTTATAGTCCACCATGCAGTCGGAAGATTCAGAATCGTCCCCATCATTAGCCGATGAAACATCATCCTCTAAGGAAGCAAATTTATTTGAGGTGGAAATACCTGAAGACGTTGGTTGAGTAACCTGTTTAGGAGCACCTTTAGTTTCACTGTTTGTATGGTTTGAAATTTTAGGTTGCACAGATTTAAGTTTTTTATTAGCTGGAGCACTGTCACTCGCGGAAACAGATTTATTAGCAGAAGATTAATTGTTTTTGAGTTCTTTGATTTGAGCTTGCATAGAGCGAAGAAGGTTATTATTTGTATTGTATTTTTCAACTAGATCACGTCGATCTTTGGATTGTTTTTGGATGAAATTATTTAACTCGGAGACAACGGTCTGTGCTTTAACCATGTATTCTTTTACTGAATCATGGATGTTAGGATTATTTAAAATTGGTTGAATGTTAGCTGAGAGAATTTCACTTGAGAGCACATTAATGCTTGGGTTGTAGCTTTCCGACGGGGAATTCTCTGAAGGAGGAGTAGTATCTGCTACCCCTGCCATGGCAGGGGTAGTTAAGATTTAGGTAACTAAATAAATTTAAAATGGATTTTATTCACTTTGTGAACACTAGGCCTATGGCCACGTAGCACCGAACAAAGCAATAGATTAGAGTTGATAAGGGAGCACTGAGAGAGTCGACGTCTTGACGGTTTCGCTTATCAAACAGCACTGAAAAAAATTCCAAAGTAAGAATATCGTCGCGTGCACCGCAACGCAGTTATCCATAGAGTTTTTCTATCTCACTTTCTCCCACATTTTCGGTCTCTCTCTATGAATTCCAAAACGGAGCATCGAGCAAGCTTCTTTCACTCCTTGCTGTGATCAGTCGACCGCATCTCTCTATATCATATTTTTATTGAGTAGCGGAACAAGACGGATTGAGTGATAGGGATTTTTGGACGCCTGACTCCAGGGCGCTGCTACAACGACTAGTTACTTCGGTCTTGACCATCGACATCTTTGGGGCCGAATTTTGTCGGTCCTTCCATACATATGAGTCGCTTTTATAGCGCTCTTTGGCGCTTTACGACGCCTAATCGCTACAAAGCTCGGTCTTCCCACAGGTCATCAGGGAGTTGACACTCCCTCATCTCACTCAACACCCCCTGTCGCCAACCTCTCACTGGGCGTCCCCTACGTCGGTCCTTCCACCGTACTTAAATATACTTAGGACGGGTCTCAACTGCACTAAAGTCCGGCTTAGCGCTTCTGATTGGCCGGTGGTGCGGTTTGAACTCATCGATGGCTGTTGCACTTCCGTGTGGAAAAGCCGACAAAATTCGGCCCCAGGTCTTAAACCTCCAACTTCCATACGTGCTCCCGAAAGTCTTTCCTATTGTAACGATTCCATCTCTTAAATATATTCGGATCAAACGTCAATCTAAACAATCTCTTGTTCAATTTCTGCTCTCCCTCAAACCTCGCTATTTCTAGTGCGCGTTATGGGGATTTTTAGATGTTTTAGTTAGTCTAAAACTTAACCAACTAATCCCACCAACGTGACAAATATGTACCATGGTTTTAACGTGTTAATTAAAAACCTGGTAAGTGCCATCAAATTCATGGTTCTTTTGCTAAGATTGTGCAACAGTTGCTCTCATTTTACACGAACTCAATAGCTGGCGAATAATAGTTATTGAATCAAAAGATCTCAAAGATGAGCACGCGTTTTACTATACATAAACGAGTTCTTCCAATGCATCGTTGCTGAAATGACAACCGCATTAACTTGCAAGTCAAGGTGAAAAGATTAGATCGGCCTATTACGTCCAAAGTGAATTCCAGGTCCAACCTTTTTTCCTGGTCATAGCTAGGATGTTACTTTTATGGTACCAATTTTTTGAATCCCGATGACAATACTGCATCGCCATCGTCCTATGAAAACCGAAATACTCACTAACACAAATGTAACATTGTATAACTACGGCTAAAAAAGGAGGTGAGACCTGAAATCCACCACGAGCATTTCTAAGAGGAATAATTGTTTTGTTTCCCTGCTTGTTTTGGTTTTATTTATTCATTTTTTATTTTAAAAGAATCAAACATTTCTGAATGCCAATAATTACAAAAGTACACAAGCATGTTCGTTTACTAACTCAAGTGCGCAGAAATGTAATAAATTGGCATATCAAGGGCTATAAAGTCAACAAAGTCGCATCTTTATTGCAACGTTTCATTTTTATAAAGGGAAATGAATCAAAATTGCTCCTTGATATGCACTCTAAATACTGTAGACGAGTAAAAACAACTGAGTTTCGTGACACTTTACAAAATACCGTCGTTGTTTTTTTTTTTTTTTATATTCCTTAAATAGACAATGCGCAAAAATTTGCAACGTCACAAACGTAAATGATCATTCCAACCACAATCATTGATACGTAGAAACAGTCAGAAGCAACTAGGAGTCAAATATTTTCTGATAACTCTGAACGTGTGTTCCTATCTTGCTTTTTATATTAGGTCCGGATGGTACAGGCATATGGAATCTGCGGTGTTTTTTTGAGCACTGGCTAGTTGGGAACATTCCGGGAGATGACGTAAAAAAAGGAAATCTGCGAACAGAGTATCTCGGAACTGTCGGACATTATCATGGAATAGGTGAGGTAGCATTGGTGGATTTTTTGGATAAACGATTATAACTTTAATGACTTCATTTTTGCGACAGGTGTGGATGGTAAGCGCCGATTTTTGATGTGATTGTGGCTTGTTGTTGCTTTCCGGACACCTCCAGTGGACCATACTTTTTTAGGAAGGAGATGCCAAATATCTCTCTTTTAATATTCCACCGCACAGTGGATCGAGTCAATTAGAGAAGTCGGACATGAAATTTTTGACTAAAACTGAGAATTTATGTGTTTATTTCGTCACATTTTAAAGTATAAAGGGTGTATCTGGAGGAAAATTTCACAAAAATACCAATGAACCACTTTTGGGACCTCAAAGTTGTGTATGAACGGAGTTGTAAGCTTTTAAAGTTTCCAAATTCTGTCCGACCTGTCCCATGGACTCGACATACTGTGCGCCGTCCCAGCTCAAGTAAGAGCATCTGTGACCACTACTTGCATCACGCAGTGTCAAAACCGCACAACTTTCCTCTTTAAATTTAATAAAATTTTTAGATGAGATTTTTTTGCTACATTTTTAGTTACAGTGTGAAAATAATATTCATTGAATATTGCGAGCGATATTTTGCATGCTCATAAATACACTTTTTTATGAGCAGCAGTTTGCTTTAATTAAAATTGATATAAATATACGAACCAAGTGAGAAGAAAACACTAAGAAGTGGCCCGAACACTATATATAACAAGGTGGTGAAATGATGCTGGGTCCACACCATTTTCGCGGGGAAATCAAAGCCAAGAAGTTCTAAAATTTATAATTAGAGTCAAAAATAAATATTTTTAATTGTAATGAGTACCAGCAACAAAGTGACGGAGGAGAGTGTTCAGCTCAGGCAGTTTGCATTATGGAATATTAAATTGGAGTCACGGCGAGAGATCTATACCGGTTCCGGTGTTTTTAGACCTCATCAGCAGCCCAACTTAACATTGCTCAAAATTCAAAAATAAATCTTTTCAACTCTAATGAGTACCAGTACATAACTGGGGGGGGGAGTGCACAGCAGTGCATTCATAGGCCATTCCTTTTTATTCACATACTGATAATTTTTAACAATGGGTCTTTATTCTAATTTTATTTACAAATTTAATTAGAGAGTTCCCTTTACGTTTTGTTCCAGGTTGGTTCCGAATCATTTTTGTTGTATTTGAGCAGCTAGAGAAGAATCTTACCTTTGATGGTGAAGTGCTCTCCATATTGTGAGTTCATTTTATTTTTAAAAAAATAAAATAGTCCGTGGAAACTGGGTCTTTTCATTCATGATGACTGATGAAAGAACGACAATTTACGAATCCAAAATTATTACCACAACTCGGTAGAGTTGGAACTTATATATTAAATTCCTTGAAGACAAAGTTTAAGCGTGAGGGGAGAGGTGCCGACGACGACGCCCGGTCGGATGTGAGAGGCAATAGTCCGGGGGGGGGGGGGGGGGTTAACTTTGGTCCTGTGCATAGCTCCGCTATACGACTCGGCAAATCACGGTGATTACGAATTTCTAGGTATTTTCGGAGGGATAAAATATTATAAAAAGGAAAAAAAATGCTGTACGATTAGAAGGCAATGGGTTATAGGACATTTCGTCAACGATTTTTTGTCCGCGCGCCTGTTTTTTCCAACAATTCATGTCCATGCGTGTTTTCGGCACTGGAGTTTTGGCCCACGTGCCAGTTGAGACCCAAAGTTAATTGGTCCACATGGGAATACAAACGACAATTGCTCACGACGTTTGTGGATGACATGTATAATGTCTTTGAAGAATGATGATTTGCTTGTTTTTGTGTTTTGTCTGCTTGGTCCAACGGAGAATAATATAAAATTGAAATTTTTGGTAAAAATGAGGGAGCGTTAATTCCATGCTACAAAATTCACTAAAACTCTCTAAACCTCTTTGGTGTAACGGGACTTAATTATCTTTCTAGAAATTCCCACCTTGTTATACCTGAACCGGATGAACCTCTTGATTTGCCTTAGCTAAAGGCTCTTAGATTTTTCCTGTGTACGACAAGTATCTTGATTTGATTTGCGAGGAAAGATCTGTACTTTTAAAGGATGCGTATCATTCTTAATACGTTCAATGTCGTATAATACCGTGCAACACCTCTGTTGTGAAATAGTTGCTTCAGGCGCCGCCGCACGACGGGCGGGCGGTCATATCAGCGCGTAACGCGCATTGGCGCCTACAAACCTAAGTGGATACTTCAAGCATTGCGCAATGCGTGAAGTATCCACTTAGGTTTGTAGGCGAGAGTGGAGCGGCGTGCTGCCAGCATGAGAAGCTCACTAGCGCCTACAAACCTAAGTGGATACTCCACGCATTGCACAATGCTTGAAGTATCCACTTAGGTTTGTAGGCGCCAGTGAGCTTCTCACGCTGGCAGCACGCCGCTCCACTCTGCCAGGCTCTAATATTTATACTCCCATAGTCAGCGTTTTTAAATTCATGCCGATTTTGAGATGTTCGCACACTCTGCATTGATTATTATTCTCATTTAAATTGATGAAAAAAAAAATGTATCAATTTGTCAAATGAGAATAATAATATAATGTGTGTTTTTTAAATATTGGTGGTTCCGTGTCGAATATAATGATTTCCAAAGCACTTTAATTTTTTCTTTTACATTTTGTACTTTTACTGTGATTGCAGCGAGGTGTGCGCGCAACCAAACGCTCAAAATTTGACGTATTTGACTCTAAAAGAGCGTTGTACAAATGGGTTAAAACTAAAGATTCCGTGCTTCTTGGTTTTATTTCTTCTCTTATTCATTTTTGCAGTTTCTTTCGACACAACTGCGGCTCATGGAGATTAATATCGATGACATCGCTTGGAAAAGGTTTTACAATTATTTGTCATGTTTTAAAAATATACGTTTTTCAAAATGAAGTAATAATTTCGTAAAAAAATAAAATAAATTAAATAAAAAAGTACCAATACATATATAAGGTATATTGTACATCGAAAATTTTAAGGCTAGAACTAAAACCAAATATTCAGCAATGACAATTTAAAAAGATGAATCGAAAGGGGGAAGTAAAATTTCATTTAAAAAATGAGCAACCATAACAACACCTCCTTCTCTCTCAATTTCTCATTTCCACATGCCTCTATATAAAGCTGATGTTACCACTCACTCTGCCCCCCCCCCCTCTAGCGAAAAATTGGCCGAAGCGATTTCCTTTAACTTGGTGCACACTTAACTATTGTTGTGAGGAGTTGATCAAAATTATTCTGATTCCAATCCGCTGCCTAGGACGCCTGCGATAGCGAAAAGTTGTTTCTCCCTATAGAATTGCATTGGGGATATGTGGTTGTTTACGCGCACCGCGCCGAACGGGTTCAATCCTGTCACGTGACGTCACAGCCTTATAGACGAAATTTCAGGTTTTAGGAGGTATTTTTCGACGGATTTTTGTGAAATCTGGTGTCAGGGTGTCTTCTAAAATTTCAAAATCCAAGATGGCGGTCGTGGCCTAAAATGCTAATTCGGCTCCTGTTCGATCGATCCTCGTGAAACTCGGTATTCGGGGGTACTTTTCGAAGGGAAACTCGAATTTTTGGTCAGACTTTCAAGATTCAAAAATCAAAGATGGCGGCTCTGGCTTGAAATGCTATCTTGGCTCCTCTTCAATCGGTTTTCGTGAAACTCGGCATGAACAGGTATTTTTCGACGGGAAACTTGATCTTTTGGTCCGATTTCAAAAATTTAAAATTCACGATGGCAGCCGTGGCCTCATATGATGTCTTGGCTTCGATTTATTTTCGTGAAATTCGGTATCAGGGGGTATTTCTCAACGGGCCAATTTTTGGTCAGATTTAAACATTTCAAAACCTAAGGAGGCGGCCGCGTTATATAATGCGGTCCCGGCTCCTGGAACTGGAACATCAATTTCTGTAAAACTTGGTAAAAAAGAAGATGAAGACGAAGATGTTGTCTTCTCATCGATGTTAAAAAGAATGTGGGGCGGTGGCGGCTCGCGGAGCGAGTCGCAAGTTCATCGCGAAGCGAAGAACTGGGGTCCAGGGGAACTCCCCGGCTAGGCGTGTTAGCTCACGAACAGAGCTAATCACGGCTAGTTGTCAATATAGTTTTACATACGGACTAAAATATAACGCTTGGACCAAGTCACTGTTGCTTATTATACGCGTGGGCGTAAACTACTGGACAAAGAAGGTGCGCGGACAATAAATCGTTGACAAAATGTCCTAAACCGGACAATGTACCTACTTTCTGACAATGCCAGAACTTGAAACAGTTCAACAAAATCATTAACCAGAGGTCAAAAATAAAATTAAATGAGTTCAAATTTTTTGCAAACTTTAATTATTACTAATACACTTTGATAGGGCAAATTCCGATGATATACAAATGAATGATATATTAATCGTGAATTACTCGTAATTAAATCAAGCCTTACGGTTTATTTTCATAATATATTATTGTTCTTATTTTTCTAGCACATATGGCCCAGTTCGGGAGGCTTTCAACATTAAAGACTTCAGAGAGTACTTCCATTTAGGACCACCATTGGCAGTTAATTTCTGCGTCGTGTATAACAATGTCACAGATCTACCATACTGAGAAGGTAATAAATCCAGTAAGCTGGGATACAGGATAATTAGTGCGCCTGCATTTTCGTCTAATACTGTGCAATACTTCTACGGTGGTATAGTTGCTCCGAGCGCCTTCAACAGCATAACTTTGACAGTTTGGCTTGATGGCAGAAGATCACGATTACTGCTAGCTGAAATCACACTCTAGCGCGGGTGCAGTTTTAAATTTTCTCGTCACCAACGGTGATATCAAAAACATTCATACCTTGATTTGCGACGTTGCAAGTTTTTCAATGCCTATTTTATGTGGGTACAATATAAACGCTATTTATTGAATCTGCCGTAATTTTTCCAAGATTAGATGAAAATTGTTATTTTAACTTGAAAATTAAGTACGGCGGAAAGTTATATTCATGTAAACCAAACTACCTAGTTTTTAAGTTCATCCGTTGATGTTCACCACTATTTAAACGAGTGTTATTTTGAGGAAACTCTGTTTCTGATCGATTAATTATAAACATTTATATAGACACTTTATTTACTTGGTTGATTTTTTACTGATGAGTTTTCTTTCTAGATTTAAAGTTTCAGATAAAAACCGCAGTTACAATCGTTGAACATGTTACGATTGTTACGCTCAAGAGTGGTCTGGATCACCATCCGAGTTCTGTTTTGTTTATTTGTAACTATGGAAGCGGTTGAAAGGAAGTCGATAAAACGGGAAAATACTAAAACTTCAAATTCTACTGATCAAAATTCGACCACAATTACTCCTTCCACTACTCTTAAAGGCATGAACGTCAAAAAAACTACACCAGCAGTGTCTGATTATTCAAAAGAAATAGAGACTGTTTTGAAAAAAGAAAAACTGATCGGACCTAAACTAGTTACTAGAGCACCAAAACATCTTCTTAAAGTAAGTAAGTTTCTCAAAGGGATGGATGTATTTTTATCTGTCTATTTATTGTCTTTAAGTAGATGTCATAAATCATGAATGAGCTAGGTATAGATTGGTTTTAGAGACGATCAACGGCCCCAAGTTATTATTGTCCCGGGTTTAATAGGATCAGCGAGGAGGTTATTTTACTATTTTCTAAGTTAGAAAACTACTTTCTACTATGGAGCAATTATCAAAACTTTCCACTTTACATATACAGTTGCTCTTACGGACATTTCTCTTATCCCCTATTATACTATCCATACTTTCAACATCTCTTTTTTGCAGCAGTAATATTATTAAGCTACGCGTTAAGTCGCCCTTTATCTGCAGAATGAATTAACAATTTAAGTGCGTATTTGTTAAGAAAAAATTCAGATTTGCCTCTTCTTCTCTTTAAAAACCTCATTTTTCTAATGAAGTTTTTTTTATAATACTTATCAGGTGTCATACGGTGGAAAACCAGTGCATCTAGGAACTTCATTTGACTCAGACGAAGTAGTGAATGAACCAACACATATCAGTTGGCCTTATGAAGACAACACGTACTATACCTTCATGGTGATTGGTATTTATTTTAATTCCTTTTAAAGTATTACTTTTTAATATTAATTGACCAATTCATTGTACACAAATTGTATGAGCAAATAAGATCGCACATCGCTCATCATGGTGGGCACAGGCAAACTAGAGTCGTCCCAGGTTGATTTTTGGAGATTGCTCCGTATGCTTTTCAAACAGCGCATGTTCGCTAGGGTGTACAAAAAAACCCCTTTTTTCGAAAACTTTTGCTCCTTTCAAAATTCTTGGTGCTGCTGGACCTTAGTAAATATGGGTCAAATTTTGGTCTCGCACATTTCTACGTAGATCTCAAGCCCCCCTTTTTTCGAAAAATGGGCCGATTTTGAGAAATTTTTTTTCAAGCTTTCTAGTTTATAAGCTTACACTTGCGAGCGGTGAGCGAATTGGAGTATCACCGATGCGACTTGAGTTCAATTCTGGCGGCCGCCGAATTCAACATATCAACAGATTTTCAACATAAATATTCGGTCCTTTCAATCTAAAAATGTGGTCGACTTGACGGTGGGAAAACTAACACAAAAAAAATTAACCAACAGCTTGTGTTACTTCGTGTTTCACTTCCCATATTAACACCAATAGATTTCTTTTTCTTACTGTGTAATTTTTTAAGGCATATCTGAAAAAGGCATCAATAAATGAGGGAAAAAGGGAATGAAAAGTTGACAAAATCTTGATGAAAACACACAATAAGATGCATCCATTTTGAAATCAAGCCTCTTAAGCGCTCAGCCGATAGGCAGCGCTTTTTAATTTCGACTTGCCTCTGAGTACTAGTATACTAGTGCTAATGCGTTTAAATGGCGCACCAGTTCATCGATGTGTAGGCTTTTTGGGGGGGTCCATTTTTAAAATAAATAAAGCTGTGAAAACTGTATTTTATGCTTTTAACGTAATGCGCAGGTAGTTTCGATCGTTTGTCTATAAGAAAATTTCTTAGCGGTAGAGTAATTCTTATCGAAATTGATCGTTGAACTCAAATGAAGCCTAAAAAAAAACGCGCCTGAAAAAATGAGCTTAACGGTGAGCTCATTTTCGGGAAACGAAAAAACGCGTTTACGGTTTCCTTGGTAACCTTTGTTTGCTATCAGCTGATGTTTTATTTCCATTTCCCAGCCAAGTCGACGGAGTTTATACTTCCTTTCTTCACTAAATACATTGACTAACACCTGAGCGCTTTTCTAATACGACAGTATTAGAATTTTCCCGCTTGTTTTTTTCTTAATATGTAGTCCAAAACTTATTTTCATCAACACCTACATCAGTGACAATGATTTTTGCAGGATGTCTTAAATCGATGATCGAGTTTCACAGATTTTTTCTTTTACGTTTTCCGTTATTTGAATAGGGCCTGACGTACCATCAAGAGAGAATCCAGATCCTGAGTTCCTCTCTTCGTGGGAACATTGGATGATCGGAAATATTCCTGCGAATAACTTATCGGCAGGTGATGTGCTATCCGAGTACGTCGGTATCACTGGCCCCGAGTATGAAATAGGTGAGTGTACTTCGCCATCTTAAATGTTAAGTACATCAGAGGGAATATCCAACTGGGTTTTTACAGGTCACATCCATTCCCAAAATTAGACATAAGTTATTTAAAATCATCACTTCTCTGACGCCAGGGCGTATCTAGATTTCCGCATGGGCCGCAGAAAGCATGGAATTATACGGAGAACAGGGCTCACGTGAAAGTCGGTACACGCTCTTACTTCAGAGGAGCGACGAAATGATTGTAGAAACTTAAGCAATTTTGGTGGAGGATGGTTCACGTGAGAAATTGTAAAAAAAAAGAACCTGACTTTTGAAAGATAATATTTAGCTAAAAACTAGAAACTTGAAGCGTATTGAAACGGAATTAAATAGTTTAATAACGACAAATGATGTTTTCCGAAATCTGTCGTCGTTGATGCAAAAAGGAATATTTGATTTTAAGTTGAAAATTTCGTTTCAACTGTTTCGGGCTCCAAATTTTGAGCCTGATCGCTAAAATTACTAGCCGCATGTTGGCTCTCACTGGCCAAAGATGGAATTAGGTGTAATTTATATCTAATCCATAAATTTTAATCTGATCTCATGTTTGCGACTAAATGCACACAATTCATCTGAGCCTACGCTCTGTAAAAAATTCTTCTCACCCTTAAACAAAGTGAATTCCGATATAGCCGGCAAATTTTCCAGAGTAACATAAGACCGAAAATTCATCTAGGTATTAGGCTACAAATAAATTTGATACATTTAATCGGTGATTTCGTTTGTTTTTCAGGGACTCATCGATTGGTGTTTTTAGTTTTCAAACAGAATCCAGTGAGACAATGGACCCTGGAGGGCATGACCGTTAATCAAACCATAATGTTCGAGGAGGGCTTACTGAAGAAAAAGTAAGCACACTTCCAAACACTGCTTCCTAGACTTTACAGACTATTATTATTGTTGTTAATGAGCTTGTTATCATCAATTTTAAGTCCGTGTGTAGGAAAATAAGGGGGGACGGAAATAATAGTGATATAGGTACAATCAAAACTTCAAAAGAAAATTGAGTTACAGAATTTGTCCTCTGGACATGGTTGCCATAGCATTGTTCGTCGTAGATATGTTCACCGTTTCTCCGGGGAATATGATCCAGAACACAGAAAAGAAGTGTTAGGAGTTATCCCCTAAAATTTTGGCACTACCTTAATTTGTTGGGTGATATGGACATTTCCAATTAAACCGCATTTTGCGATCCGAGACTACAATTTCTGTTCCAGCTTAGAAACACCGTTTCCCTATGTACATACGTGTCTTTAAGGTTGAGCGAGGAATTGTGGTTCCAAATTGCAAAATGATAGTACCACAAGATTTGGGCTATAACCTAATTTACTGAATTTATTACCACAATGGGCTTCGGCTTCTAGACAAGGTATGAATTAAAGCACATCACTACGTATTTTCTCCTCAAAATTCTAAGATAAAACGAATCACACAACGGGTCTGTGAAAATCCATTCCTGAACCAGATAAAATTGTTTTCTATCAACATTGGTTAGTTGGCAAAAATACGATGACCTCATTTGTATAATCAAACTTCAACTTAATCAACTTAATCTATATTTAACAGACTTGTTAATATCTCGTTCAAGAGTTGATTTCAAAATTTCTCGTTGTGAAAATTGCTTTCTATGTACGATTTTGAAGAGACGTTGTTTTCTTCTTCAGATCTTGTTGGGTGTCCCATTAATTGGAGTATCACCACAATTAATTAGAAATGCCCATGTCATCCAACAACCCCTACATCTCTTCTTCCATGAAACTCTTGGAACGTATGTAAATTTAAAAGATGTAATATATCGACGATGTAAGTCGGCAATCACATAACTCGTTTGCGGTGTCTAAAAATCTCAGCATCTATGTTATTTTTTCAAAGGCAACATAGAGCGGAGCATTGCTAGTTCACCTCTTGCGCCATCGCGCCTTCAAATTTGTGTACGCAATACGGACATCCATCAAGTACAAATAGTTGTATCTCTGCGCCGCGGCGCCACATCAACGCCAGACCTTTTTCATTGCTCTATGTCCATGTTGTGTTTCTTTCCATTTCGACGGCTCAAGTCCGCAATCACATATCTCGTTTGCGGTGTCTGAAATTCTCCTCCTTTATGTTACTTTTTTAAGGAGAGCAAATTGACATCATTCCTTGAAATTTATGCAGAATTTTCTTCGCACAGAGAAGAAAAATCACGGCAGTTTAAAGAATTGCCGTTGAATAGTTTTCCGTTTAAAAAATAAAGTATGACAGGAAGTCTGCGACGTCGCAAACCGAGTTATGTGATTGCCGTCTTACACCGTCGATATACGTAATTTCAGCTAGAAACAATGCCGGACAAAAAAAAAGCGATTTGCAAGGTAACAGACTTATCTCTTCTTATTAATTAACCATTTCCTACTTATGGCAGGGTAATCGGTTTGATGAGATCGTCGTTTTACCCGAGGAGGATACCGAAGAAGTACAACATGGTGTTGGACCCAATCGCTGTCAACTTCTGCGTCGTGCACCAAAAGAAACCCGTATACGTCGAGCCAACTGAGCCTCCGGATGAGACCGAGACGCCGGAGGACTCGGAAGAACAAGAAGAACTGAGGAGGGCCAAGGCTGAAAATCGGACGGTTGTATTCAGTACAACAACCGAGGAAGTGGGATCCTTAATCTTGGACAGATCCAGAACTTGGTCTTAATGCCGTAGGAAATCATTAGGAAATAATGATGTATGCTTGTAAATCTGCAAATACATGTTTTGATTTTCTCGTTCTATGCAAAAGGCTTAGTTTTTTCTCCCGAAAATAGATCGCGTTAAGCAGAAAGGAACCAAGCCACATCGACTATTGCCAAATTCAATTGAGCCATATTTAACTTTTTTACATGAAAACGGTTGTGCGGATTTTTGTGCAAATTTTAGTAAATTTTCTGCTCAGTACGAAGTAAACTCTAAAAAAATTTCAAAGAGATCCGCACAAACGTTCTCTTGTAAAAAATCAGTGGCGAGGCGTGCGTGATCGATTATCGATATTTCTCCATTTGAAGCTATGGTAAAGAATCGACACCCTGGACACCCTGATAATCAATCCTTTCCCACAGGTTTAAATGGTAGATCAATCGATATATAGCAAAGCACGCTACGCCACTGTAAAAAATTAAATAGTCCAGTTTTTGGCAATAGCTGATGTGGCTTGGTTCTTCTCTGCTAAACGCGGTCCAAATGAATTCCTCGGCTTACGAGCAAATCTCAAAAATGATGTTATGACAGAAAAGCATTCCTACCGCATAAGAGAATCTATCTCTTTTTTCAACCGAACATTGATGTTTTTTTAATGTGTGATAGGGTTCCACTGCTTCACCCAAAGAAATTTAGGAGTGAATTAAGTAATTTTTATTTCCTGCGTATATCGTCAACCATGGTTACATTGCACACGAACACACAACTAGCGTCAAAGTCATCAAGTTAATATTTGAAAAAATTCACTGCGAGTTAAGATATGTAGACAACACAAGAGCAAGAGACAAATTCTTGAACAGGAGACTCGAGACGCCTGCTTTACGAAGAATGCTCCCTGGCCTACCTCGGAAATTGAAGGCGTGATAGCAACGTGCGTAACCGTAACCTCCATTCTACATTCGAAGTACTTCTGCGCCCTGTAAATGTTCGATCAGTATACGCCGCTGCTCTTCAGCATATGTTTGATCATTTTGATGCCAGTCCGCAGCCAATTGTTTAGAATAGCAACATAGAGATAAAAAGTAGACTTTATCTATTATTAAATCTTGATACTGCATGAGTGACCATTTATGTACCAGTGATAAGTAGTACATTTCGTATGATCCGAAGCCACGATGTTGGCATTGAAAAAAAAGAAAAATGCGCCATAGTAGTAGCACTCTCTAAGACACAGTAAGAGCATGGGTTCCCTAAGAGTCAGTATAAATAGAGTGAGAAATATTCGACGAGTTCGGTATAAATTATTGTGTTACCGATAATCGTGAAATTTCTACCAGAATAAGCTTCGAATCATCTACGTCTCTCTTATTCCTGTAAGATTCTAAATTTTTGAAAAAGCTGTTGTAATGGGCGTGTCTAAAGAGATACAATTGTACTCAAGTTGACCTTATGACGAGGTGAAAAAAATATTCTTACACACCAAAATAAATTGTCAGAGAAGCCAGTCAAAAATTGAATAAATTGTAGTCATTTGACAAGCTAATTGGCCAATTGATGACCAAAGTACGAAACACGTATATCCGCTGCGGTGTTTCAAAATTTCCGATCCTATTATATTTTTTCGAAAAAGAACAATACAACCTTTCAGCTTGAGGTTAATACAGAACACTCTGCTAAGAGAGAGGCAAAATCGTGGAAATTTTGAAGAAATACGTTGATTAATTTCCAAGAAAAAGTGAAAAATAATAACAGGAGGTCTGGAATGTCGCCAATGGAGATACGTGGTTTCGCACTTAGGTCATCTACATGTTCATTACAGTGTCACCCCCATTGTACTCAACACAGTGTCGAACGTCTCCCTCAAATTCGACGAAAAAATGCAATGTTTCCATAATACGTCTGCAATACAGTGATTCCTTTTTTCACATCCAATGTGACAGTTTCCAAACGGCAGAGTTGTCATTAAGTTGATCACAAATGGTTTAATAACCGCAAAATACCCTTCTTTTATACGTTTGTCCGGCCACACGCACTAATAAAAGGATATCGAAGATGACTTCAACTTTTTGAAAGCACTCAATTATTAAAATTGTTTCGTGTGCCCAAATTTATTTCAGTATACACTCATTCAGAAAAAAATAAAAAATTTCTGAGGCTCATCATTTTTTTTTTTTGCTTGAGATTTACGTTCCTTTGCGTCAAGAACTTTTAAATAATCCCTCAAATTTAGACGAGTTTTTATGGTAGTCACAAACAATTCTATCAGCTCTTTCTAGATTTTACCCCTCTGTTACATCCGTTACATAATTTTTTCAGCTTCAAACAATGATGCGAACCTGTCAAATATTGATGGCTAAAGTTGCTAATATTACTGCTTCTTTATGGATAGTCCTTGCTCTGACCTGGGAAGGAATCCTATGTATGCATGCAAGAACTCCTGAGGCAATTGATGCTGCGATGCTCAGAGATTACTTCATTCCGGATATACTCGATTTCAACTCTCCCAACGATTCGATATGGGTATGTTTCTCACGTAGTCATTACTTATAACTGAAGAATAAATCAGATATTGCAAACATTTTACAGGAATATGGAGTTGGTTGCATTCAATAAGTGTTACCTTTCGAAGACATTTTTTTATAATTTTAGGAAGAACAAAAGAGAGAAGCTTATGTCATGTAGTATTTAAAAAAAAAATAAAAAAAAAAAAAACGAGTTGGTTTTTGCAATCGCTAGCGATAGCAATATTCGTCATGGGAACTTTTGCTTCTGGGATATGAAAATTTTAAGGTACAGTTCGTTTGTAGTATCTTCAGAATTGAAGGGGCTATGTTATTTTGTGTCGACATCTCTTTTTTAACATTTTTAATTTTTTTTCTTTGCATACAAGAAAGCTGTTATTTACCAATTATTTATTTTCGTTGGATTATGTATGGTTTTTGGAAGTTAACGCATTTACCTTTCAGTTTCGTTTTTTCGGCGTAAAGTATGATATTTTTACTCTACGCATATGCCCGAATACGCATCATAACGACGGTGAAACTACCAAACCACGTATCTCGTTTGCGGTGTTTA